GTACATTTTCCTTATCCTTGTTGTAAGTCCTTCCTCAACAACTTCTTGAACAAAACATTTCAAGAACCTTCCATATCCATAGCATTGATTGATTGATTGATTGATTGATTGATTGATTGATTGATTATGTGCCATCAAGTCATTTTTGGCTCTTAGTGACCACATAGAGTTTCTCCATGACAATCTATCCTTAACCTGTTCTTTCAATGCTGTGCTCAACACCACTGTAAAATTGAATCCATCCACCTTGCTGCTGGTTGCCCTCTTCTTCTCTTCCTTCCACCTTTCCTAGTGTTAGAGCCTTTTCCAAAGAATATCCATAGTATTCCACCACCACATACTGGAACCTACCTCTGGAGAAAGGAGGGGCAACCTTATATAAGACAGAAGCATCCCAAGATCCCGTTGCCTATTGTCTAAATCATGTTGAACCCACATCATTAACGCCTTGAAGATTGATTCTTCATCTGGAACATTAATATCATCACTGGAAAGGAGTTTGGCAATTTCACCAGCAGGAAGTAAGAGGAACTCCTGGTTCTTTATTACTTCAGTGAAGTGTTCCTTAAGAAGGTATCAAACAGAAGATATTTAAATGCCATTTTTAATACAACAGCTTAGAAAAATTACAGTGGCTTAAAAGAGGTATTTTCACTTTTTCTCCGGAGTAATGTGGGAAGGTTCTTCCAAAACGATGCTAGCTAAAATGACATGTGTTCATAATTTAAGAACCAAAAAGACAATTTTGGTTTCTCTTTAGAACTACTGGCTTCCTCATATTTTGGATTGATAGTAAATTAAATCAGCAGGATAAGCAAGTTAAGAAAAATGTATTCCATCGATTAGCATTTCTTTGGTAGAATTACAATGCTAGCAGTGTAAACTCATTAAAAAAAAAAAAGATCGGGGGAGCGTCTGCATGTTCATGTAGTTGCTTGCTAGCAGCTGCTGATCTGTATGATGCTGTTTTCTTAAGTGCCTCTACTTGCTGAATAGGCATTTTCTCAAAAAAAAAAAAAAAGCAAGAAAAAGCAAAAGCCCTTTTGGGGGAGTGACAAAAGAGGTGGTGGCCTCACACCTTCCTGCCCTCTTGTGATGTTTAAAAAAAGGAGCCACAGAAGGATTGTTACAAACTTCAAAAATAGCCCTGGTTGTTTATGGGAAATGATCTTATCTGTGGAAGCAAGATTACCAAACAGGAAGCTGTTAAGAGTCCAGATCAGTAGTAAAAGTTTTAAAGAGGAATGGAAATGCCCCCCCACCCCCCGGAGTCTCTGGGCTTAGTTAACGTCTGGGCCGGGTCTCCTTCCAAGCGGTAAGCAGTCTGTCTATATTATGATTATCATCCTTGTTTCTGCTTGCAACAGAGGATTGTGGTTAGGGTTAGGGTAAGATGATGGCATTGGAAATGCCATAGTTGTGCAGATCATTATGGGGAACACAGGGAGAAAGGGAATTGAGAGGGTTTCATTCATACTTGAGCCGTCAGATCCTGCCTCCAAATGCCTTGGATAATGTTCCCCTAAGTGAGCTTACATCTGACTGTGAAATGCAGTCAGTGGGAAGAGACATAATTACTGGGAAAGTATTTGTAAAGACGCATATCAGCAGGAAAAGTCAGGTTAAGCCATGCCCCATCTCTCTCCTGGAAAGAGCCATTTCTCTTCCCTGACAAAGGAGACAATAGAAGCAAGCTCAGGAACGTAATATTCCCTTTATAATTTCTTGTCTGGCACCCAAGCAGAGTTTCATACAATCAGAACAAATCCAAGCAGTGAGGTTTTCCCTGGGAGATCTGTCAGAATAGTTGAATCATGTCCCCCAGGTCATTTTAACAAAAAAAGTATGAAATTGTAAATGCAATGATTCGTTTTTCAAGTAAGCAAGGTTTTGTGTAGAATCCAATGAAGAATAGTCATATACGACCAGCAAAGTGCTAAAGAAGACCATCTTCTGCTCCCTTCTCCAAGGCCTTAAAAATAATATTGTTCAGATGAGCTTTGGTGTAGAGGATAGACTCGGCTGCTTTAGTAGGTTGATTCCTGTTTGGTTTTATTTTTCATTTATCTTTATTGTAGTCTTTTGCTTGTTTCTGTTGATAAATGACCCGGAGGCTTTGGAGGCGGTTGGATGATTTGACAGAAAGATGAGTTTCAAAAAGGCAATGGAATACAGTATTGGGTTGTTAACGTAAGATTGGTAATAGAATGAACGTGAGAATGGAAGGAGGAGATTTAATTTCGCTCTATGGGCCACAGCAAGGTCTTTGGTTTTATAGAGCATGCCGAACAGTGAAGAAGTACAATTACTTTGATCGGCACAGCACATCGAGTAACTGAATAGCAGATTAAAAACTCTGCAAATGAAACGGAGTTTGGCAAACAGGCCTTCGTTTCAAGTGCTTTCCGATTACAGTAAGGGAAGTTTCAGACTATTTGTGAAGCAGAGAAGGGGGCAAATGGGGCTTTGTCACTTCAAGCAACACCCTGAAGAAGCTGGGGGGGGCGGGGGGGATCCTTTCTGCATATAAACACTGAATATAATATCAGGAATCAAAACGTTCTAAGCCGTTCTACGATTATGATGCACGTCTTTGTGTTATTGCCTTATTGCTGCTGTTGATATTGTAGCTTTTGTTATTGATGGGGTTCTGTTTCAGCATTTCTTTCTTTTTTTTAATTTAGCAAGCATTTGACATGATGCTTTGTTCTCTCCCGGCGGACAGAAACGGTACAACCCATTCTGTCACCCCAGATAAGGTACCTTGACGTTCTATTTTAAGGAAGATCGTTTTTGCTTAAAGCTATCCTCTTTGAAGGGCTGTAGTGCCAGTTCAGAGTCAAAAGAAGAAAAAAAAAAACCCATAAGAATAGCAGAGAGCAGGTAGCAACTTCACCCTAGTGAGATTACTACAATGTTATGTAAATTAAATTAATTATGTCTACATAACCTCTCCCTTAGCAAAACACCCTTCTTTTTATCCTCAGGGGTGGGTGGGTTGATGAATTTTCTTTTTCAAATGTAATACTTTGAAAATGTTCAATTAAGTGTGAAAATCTGCATTTTATTGGTTCTTGCTATGGTCTCTGTTTGCTCCTGGTCCAGCCCACCTTTCCTTCTCTGCCCTGCCCTCTTCCAACGCAGCCTTTAGCAGGGTGCTTGGTCAAGCAGTTAATCTGGGGACTCTCAAATGATTCTCATCCTTACCATCGTGTAAACATGGGCCACTTGCAAGAGTTTTGAGCATCCCTGAGCATCTCCAAAGGATCGGATTCCCAAGCAGTTTGAAGGATGAAGTTGCTTCATGAGAAAATTGCAACAGACCTCAATGACTTGTGAAAGTTGAAGGAGACAAGCTGCAGCCAACAAGCTCTCAATGGTGTCTTCTTTTAGCTCCAGGATGCCTATGTGGTTTAATTTTTTAAAGAAGAAAGAGTGTGTGAAAATGAATAATAATTTTAAAAACCTTCTTATAGTTCAGCAGCACCTTGTTAAAACGCCTCGTGGTCCTGAGAAGTGTGGAAGTTCTTGAGGTATGGTTTGGTCTGGAAATCAGTGGCTAAGCTTGCACAATGCTTTTAATCAGACCAGTGGTAGATCAATTTGCACAGCCTGCTAAGCTTGGTTTGCAATCTTAACAAAATCATTAATAATCTTTTTCAGCAGCCTTTCTAAACCCATTACCTCCAGTATTAAAACAGCAACTTTATTTGATACAGTGGTACCTCTAGTTACAAACGCCCCTACTTACGAATTTTTTGAGATACGACCAGCTCCGGCCCCAAAAATTTACCTCAACTTGCGAACTCGCCTCAACTTACGAACCAGATCTGCGGCCATTTTCCGCCTGTACCAGGTGGTCCGCGGCCATTTTTCCGCCTGTGCCACGTGGTCCGCAGCCATTTTCTGCCCGTTCCACGTGGTCCGTGGCCATTTTTCCGCCCGTTCCACATGGTCCG